CAAGTATGAAGCAAAAATATTCATTTAATGCCACATAGATCTGTAATTCTGGAAATAGACGTCATCTTCACGACGATTTCCTTGTGACGCTGAACAAAATGGTTCATTCTGTCGTTGCTTCTTGTGCTTTCTTATGATATACCATAATACAAGCGTTGACAGCAGGCAGTAATGGGATGGAAACTGAAATCATCAGTCAAATGTAATTGAAACTCAATCCATTACTATCGTTGAAGGGAGGAAATGCAGAAAAGCGATTCTGACAGATTTATTCCCATTTAGGGCGAGGGATCACAGGAGGCGGGGATGGGAGGGGCACGGGCGACTATCGCGTTGGCTGAAGCTTGAGAGGGCCGGTCAATCCACTGAAATCGCCAGTTTCAGGGCCGATCGATCCACTGAAACTGGTGGTTTCAGCGAATTGATCGGGCACTCTCAAGAGTTAACTAATTTCCAAAAGTTGCATCTTCTGATCGACACGATCAGGAATTAGCACCCTGATTTGAACCTTTTCCTGAATTTGCAGAATATGGGATTGTAGAATTGGATTTGTAAGAACGAAGTAACAGCTTACATAGAGGGCTGACAATAATATGCGGAACATCATTTCACCGAGCTTTTCTTTCATCCACATAAGAACAATACTAGCAACAAAGTAAAGTGGATAGCCAATAAAATGTAAAATAAGTAGCGGGAACAATACTCGAAGAGCTCGGAGATTCTCTGTAGCCTGATATTTTTTGCTGACATGATGACTGATCCTAAAACCATAAATGGTTGACAAAAGAAAAAACGCTGAGTGTCAATAGAACATATTGGATTACGCCATGCATATGAATTCCATCTTGAAAATTTTGTGTACTGTATTGACATCTAGTAGTATCGGTACCATTAGCACTTACCGCCCACGGATTTTTCTATTCAAAAAGATTAATAGCCCGAATACGATCACAGCGATGACCAGCATGAGAAATAGGAAGATTTGAACAAGAAGAACATTACTGTAGTTTACAGTGGTAAGTGAAGAACAGTAGTACGACGATTCACTGATACAGTACCTATATTGCTTTGCAATGCTCAGCAGAATGGCAGATAGTAGCTGGAAAAAAAGAATTGCCCACTATTTTTCGCATCCACCGTATCCATGCTATTTTACTTTTTCCAATTCTGAATTTTTAGAGAAAAATCTTCTTTTTAGTACCTTGAGAGCCATCCAATACTTTATCGGATGTGCCCAAAAACATACTATCGATTTTATTGATTAGTTTTCGAACTGACCGAAACAAAGAGCAGTACATAGCCAATGACAGTAGTACGTTTTTCATAGGTGGCCGCCAATGTGGTGGCTATGACGCGCTCCAATAATAATCCCACAAGTACGGTGGTATGGGCAGTGTAGCTGGTAGAAGTGATGAACCGCATAATATAGCAGTATAAAGCACTGACCAACACATCGCATGGCTCTCTGGTTACAAGTACTTTCCATAAATGGCTTATCTGAAAAAATTCTTGTACAAATGACTCCAGGTAGTCTCACAAGATCAGCGATTAGTAGACAAAAAATCAGTCTCGGACGGGACTCGAACCCGTACTTGTCCTTTCCCGGGAACGTGCTCTTATCCCTTACATTACCGAGACCCCGCTTTCCCCGTAGGTCTGAACGGTCTTGGGAGACTCATTTATTACTGAGGCTAGAGAACGATTGAGTGGACCAAACGGTCACTTTCGGAACGTGTCGCACATCCGGCATAGTTTCACCGTTCCTAAGACCTTTGACTACCTATTTAGCCTATATGAGTAAGCCGTTGTTTGAATTGCTGAGCCTACACCTCAATATCAGCCTCATCAAACCAAAAACAATTACCCAGGTGCATAAAGGGCTCAATCACAGCCGAAGAGATTGTTTTTCGAGAACTGAACAGGTGCGACTACTATCAGATTGAAATTTCGTGCCATTAGAAAATTCTCAACAGGTGAGACACCAGTGGGTCACCGCGCAATAACTTCAACAAACCTAGGCTACCTGAGAAAGTGACTTACCAACATAAGACCGTATGCTAGCGAATGTACAATGTTAGCAAAGACCAGCGCCAAAATGAGCATCTGAAATGAAATGGTCATTTATGATGAATCGAAAGGAACAGGTCACCGTGAGATTGGTTCTGAGATCCCTCACAGTTAGGGAACTCTGGTCTCTGAAGAGTCAATATAGGAGGAATGCACTACGACAGAATACGCTTCGGAAATAGCGAAGCAAGTTCAAGTTGTTGGCTAGACCCGCCCATCAATTTTGGAAAAGATTTTGCGAACTTTGATATTTATTGCTGCCCTTCGAGAGAGTATTTTGTTGTAGACACGTGTGGACTTTTCAGATGCCGAGATCCCTTTCCGGTGAATATTCTGAGAAATCTACCTGATCGTGAACTGTGATCAGCAAAATTATGAGAATGCAACTCACACGGAAATTCTTATGGCATGGCAGATCTTTCCAGCATACTTTTATAAAAAGTACATTAATTATGCATGAAAGAACGCAAACAGTTGTATGTATACTTGAAGAGATATGCTGTGGTAGAAAGTCGATGTAGATGGCAGCCTCCGTGCAATTGTTCATTCTATGGGAATGCTGAAATTATAAAGGAATAGCGCTGTCATTATGTTGGATTACCAGATTCGCTGTAACATCGAATTCTCAGTGTCTCAACGGAATCAATCTCATGGTGGGCTCAAAAAAGGAGCCAAGACGTCTTGCACTTTAATTAGGAAAAGATGACATGGGTTTTCCAAAGCAGTGACTCTTGGGATCGACTTTGCTGTGCTCCCAGCCTCATGCCTGGCTCCCTTCTCACCCATGAGACTGTGAAAATCATCCTCAGAGATACAAACTCATCGATCAAAGGATTGAAAGTGGTGGACAGATAATAAATCGAAGGGATACTGATCATGAGAATCGCCAGAATGCTTTGGAGGAGTAAGAGGGAAGACTGGAATGAAATCGTAAAGGACCATGCCCGAAGAGGCGGGGGCAGGCAGCTCACTATGTTGGCTGATGATATGGTAACTTAAGAGGGCAATAAAAGACCTCGCCCACATACATTTTCTTTTGTCATTGTCATGACTAGAAAATTCATTTCAATTGCTTGATAAATCATTCACAATAGTCACTGGGGCAAGTCCTATGACTACATTTTTCAATTTTTTGCTCGATACGACAATTAAATTCATCTTTGATACGTTGTTTTGAAAGGAAAATCTCAGCTGNTTTCCAATCTAGAAATGATAGAACTAAAATATCGTTGAATAATCAATTAATTAATTTAATTAATTTAATAATAGTCAAGCTTTCAAGGTAACACCACAATTATTTGAAAGCAATTTAATTTCATTTCTGATATCTATATATAACTACTCTCAGTATTCCCCTCAGGTAGGACGTTCTCAGTAACAGGAAAGATTAACATTTTTACTAGATGCTGCTCAAGCTTTTCATGGAGTTGAATGATTTGAAAATAGAAGTAAAAATATGATGACGTCTGGTGTGGGTGCACAAAACAAATCCAACGGTATTGGATTGCGAAAGGCATTAGGGTAACACATGGACCTGTTGGAAGCCCAGCGAAAAAGCGAAAGTCTCATCAAATAATAACTGAAATCGAAATTACAAGTTTTTTTGTCATTTTAAGGATGATGGAAGTAGATTACCCTGTGATCAGCGTCTTCATATGATCGTCATCAATCGTGGATGATATGCTTTGTCAGCCTGTCAGCCGCCAACGATGAGTGCACCCTTGCTGAATTTCACTAATATAGTACGTTTATTTTTAGCTGAGCAGGAGGCCCTACAATTGCTTGTCGCAAATACAATTTAGGTGAGCAATGACATTTTTATGTACTTGTAATTAGATGAAAGATGAAACAGAAGGTTTGACCGAAGTGGTCCCTTCCGGGAGACGGGCGTTAGGAACGATTTTGGGTAATCGATTCGCCGCACGCGGCTGTCGCGGTCCACTCATTCGCCATAATTACAGCTCTAGCGTTCTTCATACAGCTCAATCGATATACGATCATTATTTTATACATAGTTCTACTATTAGTACTTTTGTTCTCGTATTTCTTACCTACTGTTGCATCCTGCTACATTCATTCGCGCGCGACGCCCTCTCACCGCGACGCGACCATTTCGTTCCTAACGCACCACACCCGTCCCTCCCGAACACCTCACATTTTGACGCTGTAAGGGATATCGGCAGGTCATGCGTTCGGTACGGGTTGGCCTTAGTCTAACATATCTGTCACTCAAAGGGTGAACACTTAAGATGGGATATTCCTGAAGAGGAGCAAGCTTCTATCAGTAAGTTTTCAGTCTGTCTAGGATAGGTCGAGATCGTTAACCTAAATTCGAAGGCAGG